AAACTGATCTATGTACCTAAATGAAGGCTGAACTAAATACTCCTTCCACAGTATTCTTCTGAATTTTTGTAATAAAATTGGTCTAGTGTTAATATCAGGCCACTAAAACACTCACTACTTTCTCCAATAAATCCAAGTAAAGGTTTACAGCTCTAGATGGATTTGGGGAAGTCCTTTAAGAGTCAGCTAGGCTGTGCAAGCAAGCATATGTGCTTCTGAGGGAAGCTGAGAAATAACATGCATCTGCCCTAAGAAAATACCAGCACCAGAAGTCACATGAGCATTCTGTTTCATACTTGTAACTCATTCTACTATATTATCCCAACAAGGTTTTTAGCATAAAATTGCACATGGTAAATGACTACGTACATATACAGAAGAAATTTTATGAAGGAACAGACTGCATAACCTGAAATCAGCCCAGAATGAGAGAGTAACATTCAGCCTGGTCTTGCTCCTCTCCTTAGCTAGGCATTGACTATCAACCATGAACAACCAGAGCTTTTCACAGTGTTCATTATGAGTTAAGGTAAAACTGTCTCTGCTGCTTTAAGTGCTTGCCAGATTTCCAGGAATTGAGAAATATTTTGTTAATTTTAGATTATCTGGGCTTTTCTATAATACTGGAAAACCCAGTAGATTAACCAACCCAGTTTACACTGGTAAGAATATCATCTAACAATCCTCTGAAAAAAGGCCTACATATAAGTTTAGTCACATACCTTCTAAAAATATCAGTTAAGATACCTAGTCAAGTTCGGTGCAGCTCCAAGGGATATATTTTTTTTAAGTCTTTTTACCAGTAAAGAATAGTTCTGTTAGAAGACATCCTGAAGCACTATTTGTGGCTTTGTTGCACAAGAACAACTGTGGATAAGAAAATATTTTAAAGGAAAAATATTTTTTATAGGATTACAGGGCATTAAGATAGCTGAGAACTTAGCAAAAACTCTGATGTCTCTCCCTATTAGTGCTGTGACGGCTTTTAACTAAAACTTTAGACTGCCACACAAAAGCAAAGATACAATCTCCCACAGCCTAAAATAAAATGCCATTAACCTTTTAAACACACATGATTTGGGAGCAGCAAGCAGTTAGGTTATAGAAAGCAAGAACTGCTTGGAGAGACATGCAAAGCCTTAATTCCCTTAGTGCACACAGAAATACACAGCACACTTTTCCATATCCAAACATATGACACATCCTAGTCCATCTCAGATTTGGCATTTCTGGGAAATACATTAGAAATGTCAGAGTTCAAAACAATAAAGGAGAGTCATACTGTGTTATACTGAATGGTCAGATTTGGAGAACGTATTCCTGTGCTTAGGTATCAAAAGTGTGCTGTCATGCAACATCTTATACATCTACAAAATTTCTAGGTGTATTTCTAATCTATTCCAAGTTTCCATCTTTAACAGAGGAATCTGATAAGCAAAACCTTCAAAAGAAATTAGAGTATTTCCACTGTCTCCACTGTATCACAAGTACATTGAACACACAACGTACCCTTGTGAACATTAAACGAATTTGATGTGGTGCAGGAAGTGGGTTCACAGACTGAAAAACTACTGTGAGTAATTTAATGAGCAAACCCACCTTCTCATTTTATTATCTCAAATTTCCTCTTTAATACACAATATAGCATCATAGAATTGTTTAGGCTGAGAAAGGCCTTTAAGATCATCAAGTCTAAATATTAACCTAACTGCCAGGTGCACTGCTACACCATGTCCCTAGGTGCTGTATCTACACAACTTTTAAACACCTCCACAGATGGCGATTCAACCACTTCCCTGGGCAGCCTGTTTCAGTGCTCGATAATCCTTTCTGTGAAGAAATTCTTCCTAAGAGCCAACCTAAACCTTCCCTGGCATGACTAGTGGCCTCTTCCTTTCGTTCATTCATTATTTGTGAGAAAAGACCAGCACCCACCTCGCTGCAACCTCCCTTCAGGTAGCTGTAGAGAACATGATCTCTGCTGAGATTCCTTTTCTCCAGGCTAGACTCAGTTCCCTCAACTGCTTCCCATAAGTCTAAAGCACAAGTCCCTTCACCAGCTTCACTGCCCTCCTTTGGACATGCTACAGCACCTCAATGTCTTTCTTGCAGTGAGGGGCCCAAAATTGGGCACAGCATCAAAGCACATCCTCACCAGTGCAGAGTACAGGGGACGATCGCTTCCCTACTCCTGCTGGCCACACTTTCTGATACAAGCCGGGAGGCTGTTGGCCACCTGGGCACACTGCTGGCTCATATTCAGCTGGTTGCCGATCAGTATCCTCAGGTTCTTTCCCTCTTCCCCACCCCCTTTTTCCAAAGCCTGTAGCACTGCATGTGGTGGTTTTGGCTTTACAGAAGTCCAGGTAGCCAACATCCACATCCACTTTCCCTTCACCCACTAGGTGGGTCACCTCATCATAGAGGCCAACAGATTCACAAAGCAGGACCTGCCTTTCATGAACCCATCCTGACAGGGCCTGATCCCCTGGCTGTCCTGTACATGCTGCATAACAGCACTCAAGACAATTTGCTTCATAACCGTCCCTGGCACCAACAAGTCAGACTGACTAATGTAATATCATAATCTTCTAGAGAAATTAATATTGGAAAACAAAATACTATTACGTCCTAAGATTAGAAAAATCTTAAGATTTCCACTTAAAGAGGAAAAGTCATTTACACATGCTAGTCACTACATGGTACATTTTAATTAAGTCAATGCCCTCTGTGCAATTTTTTTTCATTTCCATGCTTTGAGGGCAAACTATCAAGAATGACACAAGCTTAAAATTATGAAAACAATACACCTACCCTGATTTCCTTCATAGTAGGGACATGGTAATGCACCTAAATATAAGTATTTCTTAGTGATTACACAATGACATTTTATGATATGGGCTACTATTTGATATTCAGATTATAAAGATAGTAATGCTGTTCTAGGTAGCTCAGATGGCTGTTTATACTTATTACTTTTTGCCTGCCAATACAATCCTAAAAAAAGTCTTTCTGCCAAGCCAGAAAATGTGCCAGAAAATTAGTGTCAACACACCGTGAGAAATGTTCAAATCCATCTTTTTGTTTCCTTTTACCATGCAGCACTTCATAAAATTAGGAAGAAATGTAATCATTCAGAAGAGAATGAAGTCAACAAAACCTAACAGCAGATGTATTGTGAAGCTACAGGTAAAGGACAAAGCAGAGCAAGCATTGTATGAAGTATTTCCTTCCAGACTGGGCTAAGTATGTGCACATTATATCCAAGAATATTATATATTTTATTATCCCTTTACAAAAACAATTTTTTTGGGGGACATTTGATTTTTCCTAATTTTAGTTCAAAGAGGAAAAAATATTTGTGTAAACCTGGTACTTGGTATTTGGTTTCCATGTTAACAACTAATATTTAGTTTTAGCTCAGGCAAATGACTAATGAAGTCTAAATGTTTGTGCACAATAAGCCTATTTACCAACACTAGAAACAGTAGAACAGAATTACCAACATAAAAGTTGAAGACTATTTTGGTAGTTTTCTTTTTGGAAAAAGTCCATTATCAGCAGCTGCTCTCTAAATGTAACATTTAACAGAGCCTCATATTTTGGAGGTCCTACCCTGCTGGCTTCTTAAATCATGTTATTTTTATCAATTTTCAGTAGCTTACAGGACTCTGCATGAGCCAAGTATCAGATAAAGGTATTTTCATTGTGTTTGTTCTCAACAATGACACTTGAACTTTGCCCTAGGCTTTTTCACACTGACTAAATTGTTTGGCACAGGAAAATACTCATGTATACAACAAAATTTAAGTTGGGTGCGTCAACACTGCAGCAAAGCAGATGTTCAGGTGTAAACAGCTTTGTCCTCAACTTTTCTGTGAGCTGTTCTGTACTATTTCAGGTGGTGCCACATTGTAAAAAAAAGGTCTTATTTAGCAGAAGTTAAAACAGCCTAACCAGCATTTATTTATCAACAGCACAATATCCACCAATATCTCCTTTTCCTACTGTCATCACCTCTCCAGTGGGCAAGCTTTGATGCTCTAATCACCCCAAATAACCAAATCAGTAATGCAGCACTACAGCAGTATATTTTATTTTAGAATTTTCTTAACACTGTTTGAAGTTTATTGTCATAAAACTTTCAAGAAATTCTCAATGACATTACAAAATCTACTACTGATCAAACTATGACTGCTTGATTGAAGAGAAAAACAGTGAGAATAAATTACAGTTTAGGAAAAGGTGCACAGAATTTTCCTTTCCAGACATTAATCAGAAGTACCTAATAGTGGGAATGATCAGCCAAAATGCTAAACAATGTCTTGCGTGATATTTGCCATTAAGTTCAAACTACCACCTAATACAAGTAGCCTATACCTCATATTTCCTATCACTGGGCCACGTTACTAGTTGTAAGGGAGTTTAAAAATTGCAACTTCCCTGAAGAATGCAAAACCTTAAGAGAATAAACCAGAAGTGATTAAAAGTACCATTGGGAATGAAGTGAGGGAAAGAATACAAACAGCAAGAGATTCAAACTTGTCACACAGACGATTCTACAAAGGAGTAAACCAAAAGGGTGTTTTTTCTTTTACAGCTATATCAAGGTAAAATACTGGAAATAGAACCACGTTTAAGTAGTGAGAAAATGCAATCATGTTTATTCCAGATGATTTAATACCTTTTTCTAAGTTATTTTTATTCCTCTCCTTGTCCCTCCACCCTCCTGAAATTCAACTGAGTTATTCATAATTCCCTCAACAGTTGAAAGCTGATTTATGACATTGCATCATTGAAACTCCAACTTCTCATTTCTGTTTCTTTTTAACTACTCAGTAGCTTAACTTTTAAACTAATGTGACAGCAGAACAACACTGGGGGTTCTTTCTAATAAGCCTCTTAACATTTCTGTTGTTTAAGATGAAATTGAAAAAAATCTAAGCAAAACTTTAAAGCTGTAGAATTTTTGAAATGTAGTTACAGATTTGGAGACTTACCTTTGTGCTTGAGTGCTATAGCTGTTATCATAGGAATCATAGCTTTGTTCATCATAAGCAGTTCCATAACCATCATCATACTCCTAAAATGATATAAATGAAAGGTAATATTAACCATAAGTACACTCCAGAATCAAAGCAGTAACCTAGTTGTAAATATGAAAGATAGTGCTCTCCTGAAGCGTGTATATGACACGTACACCACGAAATAGCAAAACCTTAATGATTAATAGACTCTTCTGTTTAGGAGGCCACACACATCTAAGATGATAACTACTTTAAAGGTGTTTTGAACTACTGGCAATATGCTTTGAAAACTTTATTTTAGTTAACACTGGCTTGCACAGAGACAGTACAAATGCTTCACGTCTCCATGTACATTAACTGGAGATTACTGAGCTACTGATCTTCAAAGAAAGCCCTGGGAAGCATCTCAGGAATCAAAACATCTAAAATATTGTGCAGCTTACTTAGCTGATTCATTTCTGAACAATAAATTCAATATTCTACATAGATTGCAGATGGGAAAGAAAAACCCGAGAGATAAGACTAGAAAGAATGATGCATTTAATTCTTAAATGTCCTCTGTATACTCTTCAACTTGTGGGAGTTTAGCTTCCATTAAAAAAAAAAAAACTAAAAATAAGCATTACTTACTCCTCCCACACTGTCCACACCATGTAAGAATACTCTTCAGTAACACTTCCCAAAATAGCACTGGAATTAAATACCAAGTTGAACCAACCACTAACTCCAGGTACAAGCCATACAGAAGCTTAAGATAGAAACAAGTGTCAAGGATGCTGTTTTCCCAGAGAAGGATGAACCACAGAAATCCAAAGAACTGTCACTGATTTATTCTTTCATCCCATAATAAACCTGAACTAAACACATGAAAAGCAGAAATGGCACTTTCTTTGCACTGATTCCTGGGAAATCCTATCCAAATATGTCAAAGACCACAAGTGATATTTAGGGATATCTTGTCCAGTTTTTCCAGATAAGAATGATTTAATGAGAAGACACTTTGAATACAGAGCCATCATCTTACATACAGTATTTTCTGAAGAAGTGTGTATCATCATATAGAATGGTTTGGGTTGGAAAGGACATTAAAGATCATCTAGTTTCAGCCCCCCATCACTGGCAGGGACACCCTCCACTAGACCAGGCTGCTCAAAGCTCCATCTAACCTGGCCTTGGGTTGGGTATCAAACCTGGCAACATAAGGATAAAGTTTCATGAAAGAACAAATGCTTTCCTAGGCAAAGGAACCTTTAAGAATCTTCCAGAAATTACAGAAAATAAAACCAACTAGCAGTATCAATTAGGTATGGATGACAAATGATGGATTGTCCAACTCTAGTAGAAAACACCTCCAATAATAGCAATGTGACAGTTCTCCAGACATTGTAAAGCAAGCTTTCTATAGCAGAAACCAGTGACGTCCTCAGAACAACTGACAGGTAACTGAATTTTCTAGGAGAGTTTTTAGCACCTTCCCCATTCATTTCAAGTTGCTTCTATGGAGAAGCAGGCAGTCAGCTCATCAACTGAGCTTCTGAAATTCTTCACCACTGCTGCATCAGTGAAGACATTTGTTTCCCAGCAGTGATTAGCAGAACATTGCCTGTGAATATTTGCCAGCACAAATGATTGGCAGCCTATTCATTGGTCTGCAAAAAGAAACTAAGATTCTTCCAACTGTCTGCTGTGAAGAGATGGATGGATAAACAGTCCCAACTTGAAAAGCAAATGCATTGTTTTCTCTTTCAGTAATTCACTGTCCTGAAACCAAAAATTAAGAGTCTTAGCATTTTCTTTGCCCATCTGATATGGATTTTTCTTGATACACACTAAACCCACAAAACCACTGCCTCCTGGCAGTTACTCCCAACAAGCACTTTATTACTTATTGATGCATTACATAGACATCTGGTAACAACAGACATTGATCAACAGCAGAAGCTCTCTGAGCCAACTTATTTGCTCTGTCCCAGAACACTTACATGACATTTGGTCTCCTCTCATAGAATCTTCCAACTGTGAACCAGCCATCCCTAAGATGGACTCCCAAACTTCAAAGTATGCACACCCACCAGTGATAATAAATGAAAGCAGGCGACTAAAATTAATCTTTTAACATGTTAGGAAAGTTTTGCCACTAAGGAATCACTGGAGAATTCTTCATCAGCCAGTCCTGTTCTTCACATTTACGTTAACTATTTTGCTAAATATTGACCATGGACGAAAAGGGGAAAACGAACTACTACTGAATTTATGGTATATCTGTTACTTCTTGAAGACACAAGAACACAGGAAACTTGGAACCAGATGATCCTTAACAAGATGCCCAGCAGAACAAAAGGAAAATTGTGGGAGGCCCACACTATCAGATTTAAGTGTTTCTAATATTAGTATTCCTGTTCCAGATGAATTTTGCCCAGAACTCATTACTGCTCACCACTTTGTGTGTTAATAAATTAACTAATGCAGAAATTAAGCCCCGCATTATTTTGTTGGAGGTGGCTCTTACAATCTTCAATATCAACCTCTGCTGTTGTCATTATTAGAATCTGCTTAAACAGATAAATTCTTCCTTTTTATTGCTTTATTTAAATACATAAAGGCCCAAACCTACATTATAGCCAAGATAAAATTCATGTGTAACATGCTGCAAAAATAGGTCTAAAGAGCTGTTCTCAGTGGCTTGTTCTGTGAAGAGATGAGACTCTCAAATTCCAAAGCATTTGTTTCCTGTGCACTATGACTATTCCCTTGAAGCAGCAATGGGCTAGGGGCAGCTGAAGTATGCTTCAGAGCATTCCCTGGATTCGGTCTGACACAGTATTTTCTTATTCATACGGTATTTGAAGCTTTCAGGAGATTACAAATAAGGTTGGCCAAGGCAGAATTTTTTGTTTTAGATAAAAAATAGGCAGTGTGGATTTATTGCTAAAGCACAGGCCTCTTGTGGCTTCAATAAATATTTCCTTTAACTGGATTTAATATCTAGGTGAAATATCCTTGGCCATCTAGCATGTTTTGGGACTACAGAATATCATGAGAACTTCCATGAAAATGACTTTTTAAACATAATGAAAATGGACAAGACAAAGCTTAAATATGCACAGATATCCTGTATTAAAGTATAAACATTTTTGGTTTTAAAGCCATTATTCTTCTCCAATGGAATACAATAGACTTTCCTCTCCACTCCAATTACATATGCCTGCAAATAGCTCTTCCTAAGGGTACTCAGTAATCAGAAAGTTTACTGGTGAAGCTGCATATCCTCTATCCCTCAAAAAAAAGCCCAAACAAGATCATATTTTCATCCCATGATTGGAAGTATTTTGTTTGTTTTCCTGCTTCTCAGGATAACTTAGAAAACTAACTCTCATCAGATTTAGTCTGATCAGAAGGCAGCAGGTGAGCTGTACGATTTATGCTTACAACAAATGTAGAAAAAAAAAATCAGCTGAAAGTACTACAGTCTTCTTAAACTAGAGGTATTTTCTACCCAAGACTTGAAATACCAACCAGGAAAGTATCAGGACCAATGGCCCTGACTTCTGCTCATTTTAGTCTTCATAATATTCCCCAAAAGTAACAGAACAGCTAGAATTACAAGACAGATATTCTGAAAAGAATATGAAATTACTCTGTAAAACCTCAAACCTTATTAATAACTCCTTTATTAAGTAGCCTATAAGCCTGAATGACATTACATTTTCTCTTAAAGAGTGTGTGCCTGCAGTTGTCTCAATTACAGTGCCTGCAGCTGATATAAATCCACAGAGCAGCACTGGTAACAGCAAAGTGCAGAAATTTTTCATGAGCAGAGCCAAAGGCAACGTGTAAATATGCACCCTTCAAATGCATTAAATAGTAACTTACTATCACAGGTCAAAAGATGATAAAAGCCATGAAAGCAATCTTTGCCAAAACCCCTGCACTACCCACATAAATCATGCTCAGCATTGCCCATCAGTGTTTGTTTCTAACAATTAAGTACTCTAAACATTCCCTTGTTCATGGGCAACAGGAAATGGTGGCTTTAAATTATAATCTGCTGGCAGTGACAATGACAGACTAGTGTTTGGGCCCTCTTTAGGGGAAATTAACAGGGTTTCAAAAAGAACAAGACAGAAACAGTAAGAAAAGAGGGTAAAAAGTACATTTTAGCAAAAAGGCTATTTCCAGTGCTGAGGGGGAAAAAAAATCATGCAATCAATAAGAAATCAATTTTCTGGCTCTCCCCAGCTAAAGAAATCCATCCAAGGGAAAAAAAAATTAAGGCTGTTATCACTACAACTAAAAGGTTGTTTCTTTTCCTCCTCATTCTCTGGGAAGTAATACCTATACCAGTACTTTATCACACAATACTGGAGGAATGTCTTCCTTTCAGATAAATACTATCACATTCCAAAAAAAAAAAAAGTTGTTTGCACAGCCATTAACTTGAAGGAGAAAACATGGGGCAACATCAGTGCAGTGCAATGAAGAATTTTTTGGGTCTTTTTCAAATTAGAATTGTAAAGGAAGAGCCATTTTGTTACATGGAAATAACATCTCCCCATCGTTTAAGCAACAGGGAGCATGGGGCAATCAAAACATACAGGTAGCTACTACCATCCAAAGTCTGAGTGGTAACATTAAGGACATTAACAGCAAACATGCACAGACTGTAAGCTCTTATTTTGTAGATTTTCATCTGTTTTCATCTAGAAAGAACCTAGTGGATATTCAACCAGAACATATAAAGTATTTCTGGAATGAGAGATGTATTAGTGGGTTGTTTTTCATGCACTTATGAAAAAAATAGTTGCTAATGAATACAGGCAATAATATTTAAACCAAGTTACTATCAGGCCAAAACAACTGTCTTTCCAAATAGAACAGCAGGGAGCAGGGTCAGAATCAGGGGGATAACTCATGCTCATTCCATCATATCAAGTCAGAAAATGGTCAACTTAAACTAACAAACCGAAGATAAAATATTTTATGTGCACATTATAGGTGAACATTCAACTTCAAGACAGGCAGGTGGAAAAGCTTTTCAACCTTTCCTCCAAAATAT